ATGACCATTTACGCGTGAATGGAAAAAATAATAAGAGCTCACGAAAAGAGGAAAAGATAAAGCGAACATGATAAAAATTCACTAAAACAATTGGAAAAGGTTTAAAAAAAAATTGTAAAAAAATAATAATGAATTTAAAATATATATTTGTATAATTTGTATGTATTTTAAAAAATTGTTGTTGAATGTATTTTGGTCGTTAATTATTGTACAATAATAATAGGCTATAAACTTATCAGTCCGTCCTTGTGAACCATAAATGGAATTACTAAGCAAATTAAATTCATATTACAAACAAAGTTCGAATTCGATTAAAGTTCAGTCGACTTACTCTAACAGTAATAAAATCCGTATACCATTGAATGATGATAAACAATATAACGGTTCCGTTTTGGTTTATACATAAAAAACAAGCAATTTAGTATCAAAATAAAAATGCACCTATCAAGTAAATTAATTATGTTGGAGCGCACGTTTTGTACTAATACAATATATATAAATGATATTAAAACTTAGCTAACGTTAAGGATAAAAATAAACAGACTTGTTAGACCTTTTTTAATTTTAATTGCATTTCATTATATTATTATTTTTGAATTAGGTTATCAACATAGTAGTCTACAACGGGAAGGTGCACACTTTAATTCGATATGTATGTTGTGTAGCTCAATACTCGCGTGTCTATAATATAAACTGTATTAAATAGGTTAGTGGGTTATAATAATATTTATAGTTAGCTCTATGAGTAAGAGTACAATTAGTAAACAAGTGATAATTGGTATGCCAAATTACAGAGCTGAATCAGCAAACGATATATTCCACTTAATACTGTTACTATTGAACTAAGTTAACAGAACGCCATATCACTTTTGATCTGTAGACAGTAATATATTCCTAAGGAGATAGTCTTTTCCGAGAAATTTAACAGTGTTAGCGTAATGGTTTTCTTATACTTAATTAAAGATCAAGACTTCCCTAAATGTTGACGCAATTGATATTTGATAAAACGTTGTTTAACTCAATGTCAACATGTTACATCTCAGTTTTTTATAACATCCTTTTTATTATTTTAACACGTTTAGATATACGAGTATACTTGTAATCAATAATCGATATTTTACTTAAATGATTAATTTTTAAAAACAATATTTTTAAAAGGGTTAACTATCCAAGTTAAAAAATTCCGTTAGATTATTATATTGTACTTAATTAAGATATTAATACGTACAATATGTGGGTAATATGTATGTGCTTGTTTTAGTTACTACTCGTTTAATTACGAGTTTGTACAGTTCTTATAATAATATTTGAACCAAACGATCGATGGAAATCACGGAACAGTAAAAAGAAAACGTGTTCATTATACATTTCGACTGTGCTATTTAATATTTTTAACAAAAAAATAATCATTTAGGCTCAAACATAACATAGGAGTTAATGAGCATTTTGGTTGGCAAAAAATCTCTACAAGATGATAGTAAATGTATAGCTGCGCAAAATACCTACCAAATAAGATAAAAATTTGGGTGGTTAGATTTACATTAATGAATAATAAATAGGTCATTAACAACACCGTGTACAGTGACAGTTCGGCGAAGAAGAACAATAACAGCAAAATATACTCGATAACAGTTTAATTTAAAAAAATGGAAATTATGAAAAAGTACTGCAGTTTATAGTTTTATTATGAGACCATTTGAACGAAATACGAATATCTCGTTTGTGAATGTTTTAAGCAGACTTTAGCAACAATAACAATTGTATATTTTAATTTGTAGTTCTGTGTGTAGCCCTGAAATATAAAATATGCTAGAGGCGATTAAAAGTTAATTTTTAAGTATTATAATTTAGTTAGACTATTAAGTTAAGTGCAAAGACAATTTTGCAGTAACGACGATAACCAGACATTAGTAATTTCCAGATAACACTAACGAGCCGTCCAAATATTGCGGAACGTTTTTATAGTTGTAAAAAAGTCAAAATACAGTGTTCATTCCAAGATAACTCCAGATAAACATAATAAACTTTTTGAAAAAAGACAAAGAAAAGTTGTTTAGTTGGTATTATTCATATGATTAATAAATTCGATTTTTGTGGATTTTCGAATTTTGAGCAAGACTTACAAAAATAAACTTGAACTCATTCTCAATGTACTCTCATCATTCAGTTTCTGATAGCTTTTGTTCTATTTAAAGAAGGGAGTCTTTAGTTTAGTGGACTTTTCCGTACCCTTTTTAAAATCAAGGGGGTCGATTTTACTGATTTTGGGTTTTTTGTCAACATTTATACACTAGTATAGATTTTATTAAAAAACAACTTATAAAAATCTACACATAAAAATATTATTATGTTAATTTTATACATACAATATACATAGGTATATTCTATAGAATATTAAAGCAGTTTTCTAAAACACAATTATTACAGAACTAAAACCAACAAATCTAACATTAATATTTAATAATCAAATTGAATAGTTTTTTGAAAACGTTAAGCATAGTTCTTTTAATAGTATGTTCACTTTTGTTTTAAGAAAGTATAAAATAGTTCAAAAAGTAATTTGAATTAATATTCTTTCAGAACGGATTGTGTGTTCGATTTTACTATAGGTGGATGAGAATGTAGAATAATGCATTAATTTGTGTATTCCTTATACAAAATATTGTATCGTTATATTTATAAATATAGAATTAAATACAATAATACATTGAATCATGTTTGAGAAACATCTAGCCAAGTGAGTTATTTGTTACAATTTTTTTAGAAAAATAATAAATCATGAGCACTTTAAAGCACGACAAAGTGAACGGTTGTTGAAGTAGTATATTTTATTATTATCATTTGAATAGTATAATATGACCGGAGGCTATTAAGGATGTATAATACCTACTTGTATATTTGTTTTTCCTGTGGTACCTACGCATAATGTCGAAATATTAAATTAATAGCGATGAAAAAAAAGTACACAAATCGACAGTGTAGACGATTAAAAAAACGTTAAGTAAAATTACATCGGTTTATTTATTAATGTCTTATCGTCTCATTTCCGTATTAATAAAAAAATATGTAAATATTTGTATTATGCATTTTAAACTTCAATCTTTACTTTAACCTTCGTAACATAATTGTATATTTTAAAGAATCCTGAGCGTAATAGCTTTGTAAGTCAATTAGAGTTAAAAAATACAAGCTTTCGTCATGTTTTATGTAATACACAAAACATACAATATATAATGTATAACTTATTATAATAATTATGTTTTATAAGTTTCCTGATTTGTTGGGAATTATGTAGCTCATTAATTTTTTTCGGAGTTTAATTTATTTAATAAAACTACAAAGGAGAACAATTTTTCTTTCATTAGCTTTTCTAAAGAAGTTCGAAATACTTGTTTTGACAAACATCTAAATGGTCTCTTACCGAGTAATTGAACTTTGTTATCGCACAATATATATGGTAGAAACGATTATACAGATTAAAAGAGGAACGACGAAAATTCAAATGTTCGCATAAACCGTCATTCTTTTTAAATAACAGTCTTATCATATTTAATTTTAAATATAATTTGCATATATTATGTAAGCATAATATCTTTTAGAAATATTTTCTAAAAAGATTCAATTGAAATATTTAAAGTGAATTAGAAAATCTATAAAGTTAAAAAAACAAGGTTAATTCGGATCATTTTTAGCGTTATCAATTTTTTCGTTCAGTATTGATTTTAAAAAACATTTTTTTATGTTTTTATTGAGACATTTGATTATTCATACTTCATAAATTTGAGAATTAAAAATAGATTTTTTTTTCTTTTGTAAACATTGTTTTTTTTTAAGTCCCACTCCTAATACAGATATAGGTACACAAAATTCCACTATCGTTAATATTCTTGTCGGTTTAAAAACTGAATGCAGTTACAGACCAAGTAGGGTTAATTAAAATATACACTATAGGATTTCAGAAAAATGTAAAAAATGTATTACCCAAGATATTTTAATCAATATTTATAAACTCATAACATATTTAGAGCAATTTAAATAATCAATTACATACAGGCACCAAAGGGAATTAAAAAAAAAAAAAATGTAATGTAATTTTTTAACTATAACAATTTTTTTTTAACAATACTGACTTTCTCACATGTTATCAACTCTTAGTCTTAATTTGGTCATGATTATCCAATCCTTCTCCTTAAAACTGACTTTTGACTGAAAAAAAGACAAAAACTTTAAACCATCGTTTGATAAAAACGTAAAAGGTTGTACTTAAGTAATTTATTCATAATATAATTATTAAAAAAACTTGATTTATGAAATTTTGAATATTCTGTAGATACAACTACTTAATAGTAGCTAAATAATAGTTTGAAAAAAGGGATTTAACAATAAATGGAAATGTATAGAGTATACATTTATTAATGATTAAATAGCTAAGTTTAGTATCTAATAATCTTGTATAAAAAAACACTTTAAATAAAAAAACAAATCTGTCTTGCTCCGCTTGGCCTCAGTCAAGTACCTGTCAGCCGCCGCTGAGCAGCCGAGCTCGGTCTGACAAATCAATTTATACATTTCAAATTCATATTATTATATCGTTACTTTAACTTAATACAAGTTTGATAACGAAAAAACACTTCTATTAGTATTTTTCCTACGAAAAATACTAACAAACATGTTTTTTTTTCAAAGAATTCTATACAATTTATTTTTAATAAAAAAACTTTTCTTTTCTTATAAATTAATTTTTTAGTATTAAATTAATAATGCTTTAAAAAAAAATGAACACTACTTTATAAAAAAAATCAATTGTTTAACTAAACAAAGAACTACATAGTGTCTTCAGCAGGTTGAATTAATCACCGTGTACCGAAAAAGTAATCTTTACTTTTTATGTACCACTTTTTGCTAAAACTTACAATGTGTATGTCTCGAATGAACGACCATTTTGTTCCAAATTGAACAGAACAGCATTTCTAATAAATGTGTGTTTATTTGATTTGTAGGTAGCCGCCTCATGTGAAATGTGCCGTGTAAGTTAAACTAGCAGTGACTGTCCGATGGTGCGTTCATACAAAAGTTATCAGCTGTGACCGCGGCGGTGGTCATCATGGAAAGGGCATGTTGCGGTCAACCAGCATCGTACGGCTACTCGATGAACTCCAATACACCGACGGCCACCGTTACCGGTTACCCGGTGTCGTACGACGGTCGGCCGGCGGTGACCGTACCGATCCAGGTGGACGAGACTCAGGGTTGTTTCTGTTGTGACAGCGACGACGACAGCGTCGAACGAGCCCGAGTGGCGCACGCCAAACGGAAATGTTACAAGAGCTGCGCAAAAAACGTGTTTGTCTGCGCCCTTTTGGTGTCTTACACGTTTGCGGGTGCCTTGATCTTTTTGAGCATCGAGGGCGACGCTGACAACGGCGACGACGGCGGGCCGGTGCGTTTAGCCGGGCTCATGCCGGCGGCCAATATTGTAGGCGGAGGCCAAAACCTGACAGCCGCTCTATTGGCAGCCACAGCCGCCGGCGAAGAGAGCCGAGCTCGGACTGTCGAATCCATTTGGGAGATAACGGTCAACCTGAACATACTGTATCGGGAGAACTGGACTAGACTGGCGGCTCAGGAGTTGAATCGATTCCAGGAAGACTTGATACGGAGGCTCACTCAGCAAATGGACATCGAGTCGGCTGCGGTCAGTTACCATACGGGCAGTGCGGTCGGCGACGGCAGTGCCGATTTCGTGGACGCTGGATTTGAATGGAACATGGCCACGTCATTCTTGTACTGCCTGTCTATACTCACTACGATCGGTAAGCACTAAATTATACACTAATCGTTATACGTAGTCTTTTTGTTAATTTGATTTTATACAAGCTCTCCGGATCCGGCCCTGCCCGGGATTAAGTTTGCGAGGGCTGAGTAAAATAATTATAAATAAGATTTAAAAAAACTCAGTACTCCAGGTTCTATATTGTAGAGCTTTAGACTCAAGGGTCCCAGTCCCAGATCCAGTTCCAATGTTTAATAGCGTCCCCAGAATCGGCCTGTTCCTTTAATCATCACCTACCATTCGCTCGAGTACCGTGGTTACCATGGTTACCATGGAAGTGTACTCAACAACCTCCCAAAGTTTCATGGCGATTGGATGAATGGTGTACTAATGCATAAAGGACAAATAGACATTCATTTTTATGTATATAGATTTAATGTAAGACTTTTTTATTTGGACATTTACAATATGACATATTGAATATGTAACAAAATACAGTGAGCAAATGTTTTGACATAAAAAAAAAGTTAATTAATAACTAGATAGTGACATTTCTTAAGGTCATAGTCCTACAGATAGAACTTTATATGTAGAGTTTATACATATATTATGAAGTATGCAAACACACATATATCAAAAGTACTCAAAGAGTACAGGATCAAAAGATGAATAGCCTATATTTATTTTTTAAGAGACTCTGGGACAATCGAGCATTTATGCCTAAAAATACTTGTAAACAACCTTATTTTATTAGGAATATGTAAACAGATTGAAAAATATTATTACCGATCATAAGAATAAACAAACTAAACGTTTGAGAACACGCATTAGTTTGTAAGATGTATTACTATCATTCATGCTAAAGAGTAAAAAAATTACCTTCCAAAAACGCTTTCGGATGGCGAAAGTCCAGTAAATACCAGTAAAATTTACGATAAATTGTATTTTCACTTTAGAATTTATTTTTAGACAATTTTAGAGGATTTTCTAACAAAACAAAAATGCTATTACTAATTTTTTGTATTATTCAATAAATAATATTATAATTATAATATTAATCAACACTTTATTAAAGCGTTTTTTAATATAAATGTATTTTCATCGTATAAATTTAGTAAAACTACGGATGGGATTTGAAAAGGCTGACATACTCGATTGTATAAGTCTGATCAGAGTCCAAATTTCGTGACTCGTATCATTCGACAGAAGTCGATATATCGGCTTAATAAACTGTTTGATTAGGTCATTAGTAGTTCGCATTATAAGTCGACCGAAATGGCGATACAGCCTCTATACAGTCTATACAAAGACAGTTATAATAACAATACGCTTGTTGATTATAATAACAACTAATAATATAGGATAGGAATTTTAAAAAATCTGTTTTGGAATAGTTGTTTGTGTACCAACTGCAACCCAGAATATTCCTATTTTACGTTGTTCAACGAATCCTATCTATTAATCGTATTGTGTTGAAATTATATTCTCGATTCTCGTGTAGACCGTAGCACGACCCCTATGCAAGCATTTATTAGTTACTAAATCATGTATCATTCTTTGTGTATTTTGTAAAGTGTCAGACCGCATCGCGCTGAATGTTTTGTAAAATTTGTTTAGGATTTAATTCAATACCTACAGGCGGACTCGCATAAATTGTACCTTTTCATTTTGGGTACTAGGGCAGTTTTCCGGTAATTTTTCATCGCTGATAGAATACATTATATCTACTCTATTCTGGGAAATAATATAACGAACTTACCGTTCACAAATTGTCAAGCAATTGACATCACCCATTGTTCAGTATAATATAGGGATAGAAATATTCATAATTATTATAAGGTAGGTGACAAAATAATTAATAAAATAGCTAAATTAAAAAAACTAAAGAAATCTGTTTAATTTGTATTATAATCGCTGCGATAGAAATATAAGCCACATCAGTGTAATAAATAAGAAGTACAACGGGATTAAGTAGGTTAGCTGATAGGTTGATGAGAAAAAAAAGCTTAATTATCCGTAAAAATAACTATAAAAGTTAATAATTATTATTGCCGTGGAAACAAAAAAAAAACAACGTTGACTTCGTACACGTGTTATTAGTGTTTATAGTTTTATCCACTAAAAAATAAATGGTAAAAACAGATCTTTTTAAGTTTGTACTACTTTTACATTAGTTGTATACAATACAATCTACCTACAGTCATAGAATAATTTTCAAATTTGTTAATAAGAAAACGTCTAAAATAATACTTGATGAAATAACAGGTTTAAAAAGTACAAAAATATTTTTCTAACTTTACTGTTATTCGACTAGAACATAATATCTAAAAAATCTCTAGAATTTAAAATGATTTAGTCTAATTTATCAGTAGAAACTAGTTAAATCTGCAAATCTGTATTTGTTTTACAATTTTGAAGGAAAAGGAAAAAGTGTTTTAACTTTAGCCTTAAAAAATACTTTTGGTGAGCATATTATATTATAACATTATAAAAATACTTTAAAATTTATAAAATACAAAAAAATTGATTCGTTTGAGAAAATAAAGAGAATGTTAATCATCAAAATAATCATAGTTATATATAAAAAAATGTATTATTTAATCATACTAGTGTTGTTAAATAATTCCCAGAAGAATATTCTTATTTTAAAGAACTTTATCCTTCAATAACATCACGAGTAATAGTGTTACTGTTTGGAGATAACTTTTTTAATATGAATAAAATTATTAAATTCTTAGGAGAATCGCATTTGTTTTTAATTTATATTTCTCTAGCACGAATAAATCTATAAAGCTATAAACTAGTGAGATGCGCATACGGTGATATCGTACGAAACGATAACTACTATTTAAAGTAGGTAAAACAGATTTAGTATAGCACAGAAACACAGTACTTAAGAGAGACGCACAATCGTGTATCTTTCAGTCATTTCTAATTGGTTTCCACAAAAAAGCACGGACGGATTACGAATGACAGATATCTTAATTTATTGAACTGGCCCCGACGAATAATTTTCTTTTATAAGCTATTATCGGACAAAGCTGTTTTTTGTCATGGTAAAACTTAAGAGGGTCAAAGTTAAGTCAACACCGTCCATGTCCGTCTACGTCCATAAATCACGAGACCCTTTTATGTCACTGGGATATTATAGCGACATTTTGCCTCGCCTTACAACTTATCGCCTAACACACGTTAAGTAGAATTATCCATCGAATAGTAGTTAAATCTACTGATTACATTTTGCAAAAACAGAATACAACATGCGTTTTACTATGTTTGCAATAATAAATAAAATAATAACAACAAATATTTAAAATAGCTTGTGGGCTTAGAAAAATTATAATGATAACTAACAAAACTAATTCGGCTTACAGCAATTAATCTAGGAGCTACAGTTTCTAGATATAGATGGTTTGTAGTCGAGATTGCCTAATAAGAATTTTTAGGGCCCCAGATGGAAGTTAGGATCCACGGTCATTAGTTCGCTAAATCAGGCCCTACGCGGAGTAGTACCAAACAATTTATTAATCAATCAAGTAAGAAAATATTGAAAATATATATTTCATCCACACCGTACTTAAGAATGGGGATAGTCATATGATCTGTATAATATTAAATACATTAAATATAATTTTTTATATGAAAAATATAATCTCTTCGCAAAGTTTTAGTTCTCTTATATGTGCTAAATCACCATCTACAGTAAATGTATTTAATGTATGTATTATAATGTTCATCTTATTACTCTAGTAAAACTGTTCGTAATGAGTCGCTTTAAATATTGATAGTAGCATGTCATGATAAACTTTCACTAATTGTAAGTGTTTAAACCAAGTGGTCCTACGTTTTAGCTAATACAGTGTAAGCTAATCCTACTTATAATATTTGTCATAATTATTAAGCTAATATCTTAGTATTCTGACAAAATTGTAATAATATTTTTGAGAGCATATATTAATATTTTAATTATGAAAAAAAACTTCGCTGAAATTTCGAAAATAGGTAGACAATTGGTTTAAGCAAAATAAACAATAATAGCTATAATTTGCATTCTTATCTATAAATCTGGGTTAGACACTCAGAGTTAATTTATTTTAATGTTAATATTGCCGTTCGATGGCAATACTTTATTAAGAAGTCGCCTAGTTAGATAACTAAAAATAAAAAGTTGACATCATGAAATTTATTTTTACTAAAATATTCTCGGTAAATTTTAATTGATTTCAACAACTATAAAACAAGTTATGATAGTTTTATTCAAGTACCGTCAGATGGAATTTTGATGTACACAAATAGTTAATTTAATGAAGAGCTGGTTTTAAAATATTTAAAAAAAAAAAATTATTTATTTAACGATGTTAAATGAATTCATGCAATACCTTATTGATTAGTTAAATAATAAACCCCAATCGCTCTAACATTATAATATACCTATTGTTTTTTATTTGATTGCAACATTCCCAATAAATAAAGTATTTACAGAAGTTTTTATAACATTATAAATTGTACTAAGCAAGACTACTGTATTTTTTTATGTCTTTCGTGACAGGCAACCAAAGTAATATGACAGCTAATTTAAATAAATAAAGACTAAATAAAAGTACCATTTTTAATTTATAACGAGTTTTTTGTTACTAATATAATTACCAGCTTATTGCGTTTCCAAGAATCAATTCGATTATATATTTTTAAAGTCAAATTCTTTATATGTTTGAAGGTCGACAAAAAAATGTTTTGAAAAACGCCAAGAATTTTAATATTTTACATTAAAACATTTTAATATCAACATTTGTAGAACATATGATTTAATCTGGTCTATAATTATATATTTAAAACACCAGAAAAAAATAAAACATCACGAAATTTTGTTTGTACACATAAAAACGTTGAATCAAAGTCGACCACTTGTTACTGGTGAATGATAAACATAATTTAAATAGTTACCCACTAGACTAAAAAAAGTCATAAAAATAACTTAACATTTATTAATAATTCATTGTTTTCATTAACTATGATAATTTATTTTCGTTAAAACTAAAT